GTTTTAGTAGGTGAGTGACACTGAAACAAAGTCCACAGTCCCGTTGGGGAAACCAATCTGAGTCTTTAATTCAGTCCACAATTCTCCAGTCAATGCACCAATTGCTTTCCCGCTCTGCCCCCACTTCTCAGCAACTGGGGGAGGGGAAGGTAGGGGGACCCGGGCCCGCCCTCTCCACCGGGTCCCAGCCCAGGGCCCTAAGAGGTAAGAGATCACACTCTCTCCACCTCTTTATGATCAATGGGGACACCGCCCATAACACGTCAACCCATGGGTACTCTGGAACCCTACCCTGGGTCTCATCATACCCATATTTACACAGTTAATTCCCCAGGGTCTCCGACCCACTTACAGCTCCAGTATACCATGGACAATCACCCAAGTCTTCCCAAGTCTCCGCCGAGAGGTCCAGACCCACATTCCTGGCCGGCCTCCCTGCGCTCGCTCCCCTCCCCCTCCCTCCTTACAGTCCATGGTGTGTCCTTTTCAAAGAAGGTGCTGCAACGCCATGCCAGGCGTCCAGCGTGCCCCCCATAGCACGCCTCTCCTCCTCCCCTCTCGTGCGGGTGACAACTGGGGTACTCCTGGAGTCAGCTGGAAGTTGTGTCTCAAGACAGAGTGAAGTGCAGGAGACTTGTAGATGACCTATGCTCCACTCGGAGCACAAGGGTTTAAGATGAAGTGGTGAAAGTCTACAAAGTGGGAAGTGGTGCAATCCTGCTTTTTTGTCCCCCCTCTGCATCTTATGACTTTCACATAGAAAGGGAAATCCAGGGAGCGCATAAGGAAAACGCCTGTAATTTCATCCCCTGGGCTGCTACTGCAGGGTTGTTTCTTGTTTGACAGTACGCTGGCCACTGAATGCTGAAATAAAGAACCCAGGAGCCACGCCATGCGAGGAGGTGGGAGCTGAGCAGCCCTTCTGCTTCGCTCATGCCAGGGAGAACGATTCAGCCAGGCCTCAGGAGAGAGGCTACGTGACCCTGGCTCCAATAGACATGCAGCCATGTCTGTGCTTTGCGAGAGTGACAATAAATGTTCCTTTCCCGCCTCAAACACTCTGGCACCCCAGTTTTACAAAGCACGGGAGAGGAACACGAGGTTGCTGAGACCTGCTCCCCGCCCCCGGGGCACTGGGTCAGGCTATCCGACCTCCTACCAGGGGCTTTCCGCACGGGGGCGGGAATATTTGGGTTCCTGAACTGGCCCCTACCTGGGCGCCCTCAGCTTCTCCCATGGCTGGAGTCGCACTGGGAGCCGGCAGCTCCGGGGGCGTTTTGCCGACACCACACTGGGGAGTCGGCGTCTCGTCGCCAACACGACTTGGAGCCGCCTCCTGCTTCTCTGCCGCCTTCTCTCCTAGGGGGCAAGTCACTGGGGTTATTGCCTCCAAACGCCTCTCCCCGCCGAGCAATTCTCTCTCTCCCCCGCCAGCCCCTTTCCCTGCTGCCAGACGGCAACCGCCCCTCTCCACAGCCGCCCCCCCTGCAAACGCGCCTCTCCACAGCCCACTGAGCCCAGGATCCCGGTCGTCCTCGCATTGCTCTGCCTTCCCTGGGCCTGGTTGATGGCAGCCGACGCCCAGCCATTCATGGATTGCGAGGTCAGACAGGATGCCTGGGCACACCCAGTGTGATCTCGCATAGCTCCCGGGCCTGAGACCTGCCCCAGAATTATCCCCTTTGCATTCGAGCAAGTTTTTTATGGCAAACTTTGTTTTTAAGACTGAGTCTCCTGCCTGACCCAGACACTCTCTCCAAGGGCTGGTCCCCACCACACTGTTAAGTCGTCGGAAGGCAGCTTACTTACATCATCCTTGCTCCTGCCGATGTCTGTGCCCTACTACACTGATGTAACAAATCCAGCCCCATGAGAGGCATGGGGCTTTTCTCACTGTAGTTAGGGTGACACAGTGGCTCAGCTGTTGGCTGTCAAGTCAATTTCATAGCAGGGGCCATGAAGCTGGGCCGCTAGAGCCCAGATACCCCGGCTCCCAGCTGAGAAGGGGTCCCTACAGGGAACAGGGGAGTGAGAACCTCACTCACTTCTCTTTTCCTGGGAGCCGACATGCACCACCCGTGTGTGGCCGGAAGAGGTTCCAAGCTTCCAGCTTGTTAGCCCGGAGTCGGGCGAGTCTTTTGGAGACACGGGACCTTCAAATCTGAACAGAACATTGTGAAAGTAGAAAGAATTATATTGTAAGAGGAAGATGAATTATGCTGTAATAATTGAATAAGTTGAAGGAATCCTGTTTGTCTCTGAACAGGAAGGAGAAAAGAATGTTAATGTTGTTTGTAGGTATGCAGATCGGAGTGCTAGCCAGGTATCCCTGGGGTAACAGGAAAAGGAACATTAGGTGTTAGGCAGAAAACAAGTGAGATACCCAGGGAGATATGGACCGGAGATTGCTGTGTGCTTGATGTGGAAATTAAGATACTTGACTAGCCTCACACTAATCATGTGAAGTTTTGCCCCTCTTTTAATCTTGTTAACTTGGCTTTCTTTTGACTGTATAAATCAAGGAGTTTGAACCTTGTATGGTGCTCACATTTTCTGGGTGCATTTAGCAGAGCGGCTTTTCTAATAAACAGAGCGGTCTGACAAATCTGTGAGTCCTGTCTGACTTTGACAACATTTACCGCCCTCGTTCCTGCTCTGCTGCACCATGAACCCACGGCCCTGGGGAGAAAGGGCCCGGGGAGTATTGAGCAAATGAGAAATGGTTGAGGGGGCCAACGTTCCCCGTAAGCCGGGTGCTTGTGCGGCCGCTCAGGAGAGATTCCACTGCCACCCCGCTGATCAGCAGCTAGGCTGTGTGTTTCTACTGGTGGTGTACGCTCGCACCCACCTCCGTGCACATAAAACTTATTCTGCACATGGACAGAAAAAATCCGCACCGGGCTGAAAAAGGTTAGAGGGAGCAGTGGAAGGGACTCTCTGCGAATGGCAGCGAGAATTTCCAAAATAACAGTTTAACTTCCCTCCCTCCCCTGAATGATCCGTCCATCTTGGGAGGGAAATAAATAGGACCAGGAAGAGGGAAAAAGCAAAAGGCAACTCGCAAACTCACCTTTTCCTCAGGTCTGTGACACCCACCTAGAAGGGGAAAACAGCAGTAGTGAACGCCAGGTAACGCTGCTAAGGCGTCTCTGTGTGCAGTGGGAGCCCATTTCTCTTGAAATGAGTTAGCAAAGCAGGTGCCAACACCGACTGACAGTTTGCTGGCGCGAGGGAGGTTTTATTGTTATAAGTAAACCCAGCCAACACCTTCCCCAGGGCTGGGTGGGGGGTGCAGGGCGTGGCTGAGTGCGAGGCAGGAGCCAAACTGAATGTGGCTGCACTGGGCGGGGGGCAGTATGGGAACAAGGGGTCCTGCTCCCCGCCCCCAGGGCACTGGGTCAGGCTATCCGACCTCCTACCAGGGGCTTTCCGCACAGGGGCGGGAATATTTGGGCTCTTGAACTGGCCCCTACCTGGGCGCCCTCAGCTTCTCCCACGCTTGGAGTCGCACTGGGAGCCGGCAGCTCCGGGGGCGTTTTGCCGACACCACACTGGGGAGTCGGCGTCTCGTCGCCAACACGACTTGGAGCCGCCTCCTGCTTCTCTGCCGCCTTCTCTCCTAGGGGGCAAGTCACTGGGGTTATTGCCTCCAAACGCCTCTCCCCGCCGAGCAATTCTCTCTCTCCCCCGCCAGCCCCTTTCCCTGCTGCCAGACGGCAACCGCCCCTCTCCACAGCCGCCCCCACCCGCCCCTGCTGCAAACGCGCCTCTCCACAGCCCACTGAGCCCAGGATCCCGGTCGTCCTCGCATTGCTCTGCCTTCCCTGGGCCTGGTTGATGGCAGCCGACGCCCAGCCATTCATGGATTGCGAGGTCAGACAGGATGCCTGGGCACACCCAGTGTGATCTCGCATAGCTCCCGGGCCTGAGACCTGCCCCAGAATTATCCCCTTTGCATTCGAGCAAGTTTTTTATGGCAAACTTTGTTTTTAAGACTGGGAGACTCCACCTTGACCCCGGAGAGTCTGTTCCAACCGTTAGTTCCCGCACCACTAAAAACGCCCCTTTGTCTCCTGTGGGAACAGATCTCGCTTCAGTCTTTCCCATCTTGCTGCAGCGTCGCCTGCTGGACCCAACCTGTCCTGGGCATCGGAACTCAAGGCCCTGCCCAAAATGCTTAGAGCCACCCCAAGACTCCCCATTCCCAGAGGCGGCATTTTTGCTCCAGCTGTGCTGCGGGGAGGTGGGGGGCCGTCACCGAGGTCCCTCTGTCCCCAGCCTCTAGGGGAGGGAGAGCCCCTGACCACCAAGAGCTGAGCCGGGGCCTGGAGTAGAAAGGCTCCTTCTGCACCTGGGGAAGGGGCGGGGAAGAGCTCTCCCCGCACCCCAAAAGGAGACCACTGGGGGATGGATGGAGGTCAGGGATGGACAGAATAACAGGGGGCTTCCCACAGATACATTGTTTTCCTCCTTGCACCAGGCCAGGTTAGAACTGAAGGGCTCCCGATAGCACAGGGAGTGGCAGGCCTGGGGGCGCCCGCCTCAGGTGCCAGACTGTGGGACGGCGCCACTAGGACCCAGAGTGTAGAAAACTGTGTCTGCTGCTGGTGCAGATGTATCTCTCTGCTCTAGATGCACAGAGATGGTGCAGGGCCATGAGAGGAGGAGAACAGGAAGGAGGCAGAATTGAGACCTTTCAAAGTGTTGGCCCAAGCAAGGGGGCCTGGGGGCATCATTTGAGCTCCCCGCCTCAGGTGCCCAAAGGTTGTGGGCCGGTCCTGCTGGACTCACTTCCATCCTCCATGAAGCCGACCCGCCTGGTTTGTGCCGGCCCCACCAGGGTTACGTTCTTCCCGCTCCTGAAGCCAGAGTCGGGCGATTCCTTTGGAGACGTGGGCCCTTCAAATCTGAACAGAACAGTTACTGAGCTCCTTCCTGCCTTGCTGCCCCAGGAACCCACCTCCCCAGGGGGAAAGGGCTTTGGGACTGGAGATCAGACCTTTGACTAAGCAGGGGCAGTCGGACCTCTCCAAAAGGCAGGGGAATTCCCCAAAGGATTTTCCTTCTCATTCCCCACCCCTCTCCTGAGGCTCTAAATCACTTTAGCAAGAGGTGAGAGGCCCCCACGGCCGTGGGGACGGAGGGACGTGTCCTGTGGCCCCCCACCTTATTTTCAGACTGTCAATGTGCTGTAGGGCGCACCGCATAATGGGGTGAAAATAACTCACAAACCCACCTTTGCCGAAGGTCCCGGACGCTCGGCTGGGAGGGAAAAACAAAAACGACAAACTTCAGAGAACTTGTGGCAAAGTTTCTCTCCAACATCTAAGTGGAGCCCATTTGCCTCAAACACAGCTAGGGTTCACTGCAACCTTGGCCTCCTCTGGAGCTTTGACTTGCTAGCCCCACATTGTTCTGTTTGAGTGGCACATTTCAGTAGCCCGGGCTGCTCTAAATGGATCTTACTGCTGTTTGGGTGTGTGCTGGGTCATACCCCTTTGGAACACAACTGTGAAATCAGTGAGGAGTCCTGTGCCAGTTTAGGCTACATCTATACCTTAACGCTATTTCAGGTTACGGAGGTATCACGAAATAGCGATCCCGTGTCTTCACAGTGAGCCCGTTATTTCAAAGTCCAATGGACTTGCTCTTCTGCCATCCCCGTAACCCTTGTTCCACCAGGAGTACGGAACGTTTTGGAACGGTGGGTTGTTCAAATTATGCAATAAGCTATTTCGAAATGAGATTAAAATAAGAGACACGATTTGCGTAGCTCACCTTGCGGATCTTATTTCGACCTGCAATGCCATGTGGACGCACCCTGAGACTGACTAGACTATCTAGATTGGATCATGAGCTTTGGTGGGCAAAATCCACTTCCTCAGATGAGTTTGAGTGAAAAAAAAATAGCGAAAGCCGTTCAGTTCCAAAGCGACAGACCCTGTCCTACCACAGGCCTGGAGAGGCAGCAACATGCGCTGAAATAGAAGCCAGGAGAGGGGATGGGGAAGAGGCCCCTCTGATTCACAGGCACAAGAGCGAAGCCTGAACCAGACCTTGGGAAGGAGACTCTGTGAACTTGTTGCCCAGTGAATTGCAGCCATGGCTATGTGGCACGAGACAGGTAATAAATAGTCCATCGCCATTTCCAAGCGAGCAGCCTGTTCCCAAACCCAGCCGACTTATAGTTCCCATAACAGAAGAACTAGAGGACACCAAATGAAATTAATGGGTAGCAGGTTTAAAACTAATAAAAGAAAGTTCTTCACACAGCGCATAGTCAACCTGTGGAACTCCTCGCCGGAGGAGGCTGTGAAGGCTAGGACTATAACAGAGTTTAAAGAGACGCTAGATAATTTCATGGAGGTTAGGTCCATAAAAGGCTATTAGCCAGGGGATAAAATGGTGTCCTTGCCCTCTGTGTGTCAGAGGCTGGAGAGGGATGGCAGGAGACAAATCGCTTGATCATTGTCTTCGGTCCACCCTCTCTGGGCACCTGGTGCTGGCCACTGTGGGCAGACAGGATACTGGGCTAGATGGACCTTTGGTCTGACCCAGTCCGGCCGTTCTTATGTTCTTACGACATGCTCTCCGCCCCCAGGGCACTGGGTCAGGCCATCTGACCTCCTACCAGGGGTGGGAATATTTGGGTTCCTGAACTGGCCCCTACCTGGGCGCCCTCAGCTTCTCCCACGCTTGGAGTCGCACTGGGAGCCGGCAGCTCCGGGGGCGTTTTGCCGACACCACACTGGGGAGTCGGCGTCTCGTCGCCAACACGACTTGGAGCCGCCTCCTGCTTCTCTGCCGCCTTCTCTCCTAGGGGGCAAGTCACTGGGGTTATTGCCTCCAAACGCCTCTCCCCGCCGAGCAATTCTCTCTCTCCCCCGCCAGCCCCTTTCCCTGCTGCCAGACGGCAACCGCCCCTCTCCACAGCCGCCCCCCCTGCAAACTCTCTCCCCCGCCAGCCCCTTTCCCTGCTGCCAGACGGCAACCGCCCCTCTCCACAGCCGCCCCCACTGCAAACCCGCCTCTCCACACCCACTGAGCCCAGGATCCCGGTCGTCCTCGCATTGCTCTGCCTTCCCTGGGCCTGGTTGATGGCAGCCGACGCCCAGCCATTCATGGATTGCGAGGTCAGACAGGATGCCTGGGCACACCCAGTGTGATCTCGCATAGCTCCCGGGCCTGAGACCTGCCCCAGAATTATCCCCTTTGCATTCGAGCAAGTTTTTTATGGCAAACTTTGTTTTTAAGACTGGGAGACTCCACCTTGACCCCGGAGAGTCTGTTCCAACCGTTAGTTCCCGCACCACTAAAAACGCCCCTTTGTCTCCTGTGGGAACAGATCTCACTTCAGCCTCTCCTGTCAGCCTCTAGGAGAGGGAGAGCCCCTGACCGCTGAGCACAGACCAGGGGTCTGGAGTAGAAAGGCTCCTTCGGCACCTGGGGAAGGGGAGGGGAAGAGCTCTCCCCGCACTCCAAAAGGAGACCACTGGGGGCCTGGCAGCGGTCGGGGACTGACGGGATAACAGAGGTATTCACACAGATATGTTGTTTTCCTCCTCTTGCCGAGCCAGGCTCGAACCGAAGGGCCCCCGGCAGCTCCAGAATCAGCAGGATTCCCTTTACTCACTTCTGTGCTCCGTGGAGCTGACCTGCCCGGTCTGTGCCAGCCCCGCCGGGGTTAAAATCTTCCCACTTCTGAGGCCGGAGTCAGGTGATTCTTTTGGAGACGTGGGACCTTCAAATCTGAACAGAACAGTTACTGCCCCCCTTCCTGCTCTTCTGCCCCGGGAACCCACCTGCCCGGGGGAAAGGGCCTTTGGACCGGAGATCAGAACTTTAACTGGGCAGGGGCAGTTGGACCTCTCCACGTGGCCGGGGAATTCCCCAAAGGATTTTCCTTCTCATTCCCCAGCATGAATGATCCACCCCCTTCCTGAGACACTAAATCACTTTAGCAAGACGTGAGACACCCCCACGGCCATGGGACGGAGGGACGTGGCCTGTGACCGGCCTGGAGTTATTTTCATAATGCAGTGAGCGGCAACTCACAAACCCACCTTTGCCGCAGGCTCCTGACAGCCACCTGGGAGGGAAAAACAAAATGGACCAACTTCAGAGAACTTGTGGCTAAGCCTTGCTTGGTTTTCAAGGTGAATCCCGCTCTCTGGATTACAGCCACGCTGGCTCCGGGGCAGGGTCCAAGGCAGGGACAGAACAGGGTGGAAATGCCTACAACAGTCAACGGGGAGTTTTGGAGGGCATGACCAGCGGCTGGGGAGACAGAGAACCAGTCTGCCTGGGGCCACGCAACATGACTAAGGACAAGGGAGCCAAGAGAGGACCCTGTCTTACCCAGGGATGATAAAACAGGGAACTACTTTATTTCAAGGAACCCCAAGATTCCAAGCAAAACAAAAACAAAACAAAACAAAAAACAACCATCACGATTTGTTGAGCCAAAAAGAACCAAACTCTCCCTCTATCTCGTTAAGAGGGGGTGGAGGAGTGCCGGTTTCTCGTGGAACCCTTACATCTACTTTGCAGAACTCTGGGGATCCGCAGAGCACCAATTGGGAAACACGACATGCTGTAGACACGACATGCATTTTCCCCCACTCCCACCAGTACATTTTTCAGCAGGCTGGCCAGCAGCCCGGCTCAGTCCCGGCTCCCACTGGGTCCAAGACCTGCCCCCACTGTGGCTCTGCAGTATATTAAGAGCCAGGTGGACATGCAGCCCAGCTCAGCTCCAGCTCGTGCTGGGTACAGGAGCTCAGACTTCCCCGGACAGTGGCTTCTCTTGCGGATCAGCTCCCTTCTGGCACCCCGCGCTGCTGTAGGATGGCAGGGGGCACCCTCCCAGGAACTATCGAATAGTCATGTAACCAATAAGAATTGATGAGGTTACTCGACTATTCCATTAACCGATATTTAACATCCCTACCTGGATCCAATTCACTTCTCCACTGTTTACGCTAAATTCTCGGTGTCTACCTGACTGAGTGCTGCATCGTCTGTGGTGCCACTGATCTGGTGAATTATCGGGTCGAGATATTCTTTGTTGGGAACCGAAGCCTCTTCGCTGGCATGAATGACGTGACTTCTAGTCTTCTCCACTTTCTCAGACGTTTGTTCTCCACTTTCTTTTGCTGTGGGCAAATGAAGCATGGGTTAGTCACATGGTAGCACTGAGCACAGCCATTGGGGAAGGCCTTGAGAGATACTGGTGAAAGCCCCTTCTTTGGACAAATCGAACAGCAGAGTCCACACTGGAACTTTGCCGACAATAAAGGGAGGGGGAAAGACAAAAATCCCTCATGGGGCGAAAGCTTTTTGTCACCAAAACTGGGTGTTTTGACACAAGCTGTGTTACAGTGTGTACGCTCTCAATGGTTTGTCAACAAAAGCCAGTTTTTGTCGACAGAACTTGGCAGTGTAGATGTAGCTCAAGACAAGATGGACGGGACTCCCTTTAGGGTGCATGTACAGGGAAGAGAGTTATGTTTCCCTGGAGAAATGGGTCCATGAAGGTCCATTCTGTTACCTTTCTGTCCCTGTGACTCGGCGTCCGTGGAAATTTTCTTTCCAAGGGAGATGCTTTTCCGTTCCGATCCAAGTGGCTGTATCTGAGAAGTGAGAAATGTGGAAAAGTCACTAATGCCTTGGTCATTGAGAGAGGTTTTGGTTAGTTGGTCAGTTCTGTTTTCCTTTTCGCTTCCTCCTTTACTCAGATATTGGCGTCTGGGTCGCCAGAGGCTCATCTTCCCTGTGCCACAGATCAGAAGAAACTCTTCAGACAGACATGCTGCCAGGGCAAACACTCTGCTGGGAGGAATTGTTAGAAGATTGCCTCGGATTAAGAAATTCCTCTGCACAGCCGGAGTTCCCCGCCTTTCGGCCATGTAGTCTCTGCGGGGCTTGAACTAGGAGCCAGGAGTACCCACAGCCGAGAGGAGCGTGTGAAAATTACTGAGGGGGGCACCTCGCAGGAGGTCTGAGGTTGCAGGGGCTAAGGCGGCTGGGTAATGCCCCATCTACATTTCCCAAGAAAGGCTCAGATCTCCTGTCTGATCCGCTAGGCCAGGGGTCAGCAACCTTTGCAAACCAAACTCCATCAAATTCACAGCATGTGGTCAACACAGAGCCCATGTGTGACGTAGTGGGGGTACTTGCTGGGCTGTGGTGACCTCTGCTGTCTGGAGCAAGACCCAGCAGGGAAAACCTCGCTAGGCAGAGGTAATGCCAAACTTGTTGAACCAGTGGCCAGACACCCCCCATGGAGAGGAACAAAGGAAGGTGGATGCTGCCCTGGCTGGGGGGCAGGGCTGGAAGTTAGTGAGTTGGTTGCTGGCTGTCGGAGGGCATGGAGGAGAGCCTAGGGGAAGGGGCTCACCCCCCATGGAGAGGAACAAAGGAAGGTGGATGCTGCCCTGGCTGGGGGGCAGGGCTGCAAGGGAATTTAGTTAGTTACTGTGGGAGAGGATGGAGGAGACAGCCTAGGGAGAGGAGCTGGAGTTTAGGGGCCCAGTCTCCCCCATCTCAAGGGGGCCTGAGGCATCCTAGCCCAGCTCTGTGACCAGACTACATCTGTGCTGTGCTGTATCCTGGAGAGGCAATAAACTTCCTCAATTCTACTGGCTGGTGCAGTCTGTTTGTGCCATTTCGGGGTGCAGGAGACGGGGGACCCC